ATTTTTTCATTTAAAAGCTTATTTAAAGCTTTGGGCTATAGAACATCATGCTGCTGAGTTAAAGGAAACTGCAGAGCACAGATAATGTTAAAATTATGTATAGATAAATGTAATTGTAACATCCTTCAGTTAAATTACTCTAAAGTTGTTATTTGTAGATAAGGGATATCTCGGTTAACAGTTCAATATCATTTTAAATATTATTTTATTAACTGTAATAAGTGTTTTGATGTACATTGTTAGTGCAAAGTGAAAATGATTAGAAGTTTAATAATATTGTTAATAGTGGGTATTATACATTACTAGCTATGCTTCGCTGAATAATTCTGTAGCATGATGTTGTGTAGCCTAAAGCTTTCCTCAGACTTTTAAATGTAAAACTTTTTTGTATAATATAATATGTCTTCTACAAAACTGTAGTACATTGCTCTATTGTCAAAAGTTTCCACAGCTTATAGGGATCTTTATTGGTCTTTTCCACACCTTGAAAATATTATACAGCCATAATATGTTCATCATAGGTTCTAAAGGTGAAAGAATTTTTCAAATTCTGTAGTTTTGGAGCCTATTAAATTCAAATATCTCTTTATAATATCAGTGAGCAGTGTTGGCCTAGTAGGTTCAGGGTGCGACTCTCATCCCTAAGGGCGTAGAACCCCGGATGTAATGGACTTTCTATGTGCGCATTTAACATTCGCTCGAACAAAGGAAAACTTCGTGAGGAATCGTGCCTAAGACCCAATACGCACAGGTTGATAGTTGTTACCTACTTGCCTATTGGATTAATAAGTTACCTAAAAAGGTTGTATTGTGCGCTATTGATTTTTTTAAATGTTGTTTCTATAATTTATTCAGGATTAATTATTCAATATTTTGTATACACGTATTTATTTATTAGTTTTTGGTGATTTTTTTTTACAATTTTTACACACACTTCAATTAAACACAAGCAAAGAGCAAAAAAAAACTAAATAGAAACTTAAACCTCATTAAGAGCGCGATACACAAAATTACGGTAAGTAGAAAGATCGTTATTTTCATGTTAGTAATTATGTTGTATGACAGTATTATTTTAAAGGAAAATCTATAATTATTTCAGCAACATATACTAACGGTTTCATTTTGTATAATATTTTCGACAATAAGTCATTGTCCTAATAGGACTTAAAAGAATTAGACACGACGAACTTCTACCAATAGAAAATAGATGGAGCTGTATCAAATAAAATTATTATTTGAAAGAATAAATCTATTATTATTTTATGGTAGGGGAGCCCACGATGCTAAATGGGGATTTACTCGAGCGTCGTAGAGACCTATTGGGATGCAAAGCTTAGATAATAAGAAGAAAAAAATGTTATATGATATATACCTTTTCATCGGTGGGGGAAGCGCCTATAGATTGTTAAATATGTAAAAAAAAACTGTTGCATGGACATCCTCGAGCGCGTCAGATATTGATAGCATCAATGCCCTACGTATTTTTAATAATGTACGTATGTTAATCTGATCGTTTGCATGATGCGGGTGGTTGTATTTAAGGGTTGAAAATGAAAAAAAAATAAAAATTATCGAGCGCGTCAGATTTTCTAAGGGAGTGTTAAGTGCACCAAAAAAAAGCTCTCATTCACTAATCTGACGATTTCGATGGGACGCAAACCCACGGCCATTTTCATAATTTGCAAAAAAAAAATCGCAATTTTGAAATACTCAAGCGCGTCAGATTAAGATATATGTGGTTCATCTTTATGTTCTAAACGTACTGTCTCATAATCTGACGATTATCTAGAGGGATTCGCCTGATCTGACAAAATTTTTTTAGAAAAACGGTTCACCTAAAGGGCCATCCCTGCAACTTCCCGCTAATTCCATTCCTGGGCGCTTAAAATTGATATTTTGAGCTCGCTGAGTTCAAAGAAATAACATTTCTATGCATTTGAGCTCTCCCAGCTCGAAAGTCTGATAGAAGTTTCATAGAACACTATTTTTGGAATTTTCAAACCGCAATAACTTTTGAATGGATCAAGCAATTTTCACGCGGTTGGCGGCATTCGACGCAGTGTTATCATCATCATAAGTAATTTTGCAATTGTAATTGATCGAACCACAAATTTCGGAGTAATCCCGAAAAAACACTTTTTCGGGTTTCTTTCGTTCACGATATCTCTCGAACTAATCAACCGCTTTTGACCAGCTTGGTGGCGATCGACGTGGTTTTTCAAGCTCAAAGGCGGATTAGTTTTTGAAGTTGATCGATAAAGAAACCACTTAATAAAAATAAAAAATTTCTTATTTTTTTAAGATTTTTCAAAATTTCTCAAAATCTATCGGTCCGAATCGGTTCAAATTCACAGGAAATGTAATTTTTAGGGAAATATTTAGAACGCCGTTTAGTAGATTCCGATCGGTTTAAGGAAATGTAGGCATCACGCAGCTGCACGCATTTAACTTTATCGACGAATTTTTGTTATTTCGGCTTGCGGAAATCGTCAGATTATATATTTTTCATTATTCTTGAATTATTTCCTTCAAAATAAAATATAAATTAGCTACGCTCGAGAATGTCGAGATGACGTTTTTTTTTTACAACTTTGTTGCCCTTCCCTTTTTTTCCGTCACTCTCAAATTGTCAGATTAGTGGAATATACACTTTTTAGGATGTAATTAACTCACCCTACCTTAATCTGACGAGCTCGGGAATTTCTGATGGTCAATTTTTTTTTACTAATCTGATCCTGTCTCCTTCACGGGCGGCCTTATATATGGGCCTCATATTTTGTGGAGGTACTTAACCGGGTACAAGGTATCCCCCTATATATTAATCTGCCGCGCTTTAGTAAATCCCGAAATCCCCTCTTGGGCTCCCCTACCATAGCAACATATTGCACTTTGCAGTTTCATTTATCATATTTAGGACAATTCATTGCTCTGTCAAAAAAGAAACAACCCGTGACAATAACACACCTTTATATAGTAGGAAATAATGTGTCAAGTTCGATTAGCAAAACACAGATGGCGCTGTATACAAGTTAATAAAAATTATTTTAAAAACTTCTTAATCATTTCTTGTGCAGCTGGCACCATTTAATCTCGCATAAATTAATTATTTTCACTGAAATGCAAATTCTTCTTTAACGGGCCACTAAGGTAGTGAAAATTACGCCTTTCATTCGCATTTTTTACAAATTATTTCGAAATCCCAACAGCTAACATAAATTATAACAAAAAATACTAAAGATTAAAAGAGAGATAGCCAACGATGGAATACATATACAAAAAGGTTCATTGACGAAAGGAAAATATCGATAAAAATTATTAAATACTAAATTAAGTAATTAAAAAATCGGGTGTGTTGTGCGATGGTATGAAAGTAAGGGTATGAACGTGAGGTATACTCATCAATTCATCATGCAGGGATTGCGCTATATGGATATTCTTAATACTCCTTTTAAACTTCCGCGATAGCTCAAACAAGTCAAGGCTTAAATTTAAATAGGCATTGTCCGGGCGTAAAACTGCGTTTTGCATAGTTGGTGTTGATGTGAGGAACGTGAACCAAAGCGTACGAGTCGGGTAAGCAGGAACATTGAAGGTCAATTTTTGTCATCGATTTTTTATTATTATTAAGTAATGCTCAGATAAATCATTAATTTTAAATATTTTAAAGGTATGGTCCAAAACCTACTGCCTGCCTACTAAAAATATCACTTAAAATCTCTAATGACGGTATTTTAAAATTTGTATCGGACTTTGATTTCGTTCGTGAATTGTGCTTACAATGTTGAAAATGGTAAGTTTTTTTATTTCAAGCAATTTAACACTAATCAAACAGAAAAACATACAAAAAAATATTTATGATAATAGTGTTTCCTGCCTTCTGGAGTCAGCAGAAACTACGAATCTCCACTTGCATGGGATATATCGACATAGTTCAAACCCATCTCCTTGCCATCAAAGCGACAAGAACTTGTAATCTTTTGTGCTGTGTGACTCACAAGTGTCCCTTGGTTCCCGAACGATTTATATATTTGATTGCTATGAATACAAATTGTCTTAAGTTAGGCTGGTGATGTTTCATTATCACTTTCAAGTGAGGTCGTCGTAACACTTAAAGAGAACGCGGAGAGGGTTCGGCAGTGTAAATGCTGTGTCAGAGTAATATCATCACTCCATAGATATGGACCTCGTCAGCAGGCTTAGTGGGCGACATGTGGGTAAAGTGCGAGCACAAAAAAAATCAAAATCATTTATTCATATAGGTACCAAAATGAACACTTACGAACGTCAAAAACAATATGAATTGCTTCTAATTTTACATTTACTGCCAGTTCTCAAATCAAGGGCGTAGAAAGGACGAGAAGAACTGGCAATAAACTCTCCGCCACTCATTTTAATAGCCAAGTTTGTTTGCTTTACACAACGTTTGTAAGGAGCTGCAACCAATACACCATGTTCCACATCACATCTTAAGTAATTAATAGTGGTATCTCGTGGGAACAACGCACAAACACATAGTCGAATGACAGGATTTAACGTACTTACATATTTAATTTAGATTCATTCCTTTTAACATTACAAATAACACTTTAGCTTAAATTATAACGTGCAGTGGGTTCAAGGCACAGATCTCACTTTTAATCACAATTTACCCACAAATCACATAAACCCAACTAGTTCCAACCTCTCATCACCACAATGCTCCACTGAACACTCAATCAGCGTGAGTACTGTCCAGCGTTCCCTCAACGCACTGTCCAAAGTCAAGATGTCATGTTCGGCTCTGATTGGTCGTAAAAGTATTCATTAATGATTCTAAATTATAACAAATTAAATCATGATTCTTAAAATAATAGAATTAATCTCAATTATTAACCAAAGTGACAATAAAAATCAAGGGGCAATTGACTCGATCAGATAATTCCTGATAATCCGAGCATTTCCCGACATATATATAATATAATATGTTTCGCTATACAATTGAAATGTATGAATAATTACAGATGGGAGCTACCTCTGCTGTACTCAAGTACAAATTAAACAATGGAAGAGATATGCCAGCGATCGCTCTCGGATCATATTTGGGATTTGACGAGGTAATAATAATTTATTTATTTATTGCTTGAAACATTCATAAAAACTATTATATTATTTATTTCCAACACACAAATATAAAGTATTCTTAACCTACATAGTAATAATAAAAATTAATAAAAAGAAAATTAAAAAAAATTTGCCTGTGGCAGTACCTTTAACGCTGTCAGCATTTCCTCGCCGTATTACGATACTTATTCGTTGAGAAAAAGGTCACTACTATCTACCAGGCGCCAAATGAAATCTTTAATTAGCACATAAACCCCACGTGTCAAGACTACTTGCAAAAGAACCAAATTAAAGTTAGAGGAAAGTAAAAGTTATTATGATTTCACACGTAAAAATCCCTGTAATTTGATCATTTCAAAGAAACAGACATAACAATGTGTCTGTCAATGCTTTTTACACACAAATATACAGTATTTACAATATTCTTAACCTACATAGTAATAATAATCTAGGATAAATAAGAAACTTCAATAATTTTAAAAGTTTGGTCCCTATGGCAGTGTACCTTTAACAAAACATAATAATAACTTCTACATTCCTCCAACTTTAATTTGATTCCCTTTGATGTCGTCTTGGGGCGTGGGGTTCAAGGGGTGGAGCTAATTAAATATTTAAGTTGGCACCTGGTAGATAGTAACGATGACCTCAGATCTGGTGCTTTCTTAACGAATGAATATCGCAATACAGCGTCAGAGGTAGTGCCACAGGGAAATTTTTTTTAAATTTGTTTTAATTTTTCTATTTCTATATTATTCTTTTATGGTAGATTATAACAATAGATTATAGCACTATATCAATGTTTTCAGCAAGGAATAGTCCGCTCCTCTAATAAGCAACTTCGAGATGTCGTCTTGCGAGCCATCGAGCTGGGATACCGCCATTTTGATTCCGCATCCTTGTATGAGACGGAGCCCGAAATTGGCGAAGCGATCCGTATGAAGATTGAAGAGGGAGATATAAGTAGAGAGGACGCGTTCATTACTACTAAGGTATATTCTTGAAATAATATTTATGTGTTCACTTAAATATAAGAATAACTTAATGTATGAAATATTTTTTGACATGACAACGTCTAGGTAATAAATCGATGAACGCCGGCTGCACTAAAAAGCTTGACTTAGTGTCCCGTTACGCTCATTGTCCCGTTACGATCACTGTTACGCTACGCTCATAAACATATTTAAATTAATCAGTGCAAATAAAAATAAATTTATGTACAATTCTACAACGTATGTAGATTTAATTTCACTCCAGGTCAGGCAGGTCGGAAGCTGACTAGAGCGAAACTTATTAAAAATATATTTTCTTTCTTAAATCTGTAATTACCGTCGACCAATATGAAACAAATTTGGGCTAAAGTGTTTTCTTCGGATCGAAAGTATGATGATATAGAAAGACGAGTTAGTGCTGGAAATAGAGTAAATGTTGCGTTTTTTCTTCTTCATCTTAAACGAGGCTCGATTGGCCATAGGGGAGTGCTTATCACGTTAACATACAGTAGTGAATGTTAGGTGTTTTTTTTGTTAGGATTTTTTATTTTATTTTATTTTAAGAAGAATGTGTGGTGTAGTGCGTAATAGGATCAATAATGAGCAGAGTGCGTTAAAAGAGGAGAAGATGAATGACACGAAAACTAGTAGGATGTGCAGAGCAATTGTGGATGATGAGTTCTTGGACCAAATCCAGGACGTACTAGAGAAGATACAGGTCAAAAGTATCCTTAACGAGCATGGTGAATGTAATGAATGTGAGGTGAGGTTTGTCAGGACCGTGGCAAATGGTGATCCGTGGTCTCTGCCTACCTCAGGAAAAAAGCAAGATAATATAATTAAGTGTTTTCAGTTGTGGGTCACACAGCACAGAAGAGAACAAGTTCCTGTAGCTTTGAAGACCAGTTTGACGAAGATGGGTTTGGATTATGCCGATTTGTATCTCATGCACTGGCCAATTGCGGTTAATGTAAGTATTAAAACGTGTTATTTCTTCTTTCCCGCCCCATGTTCGCTCGTGCCACACTTCGCACCTTCCTCATAAACCATTAGTGAAAATCGCGATAAATTCCGTGCCTATTGAGTTTGACTAAATAAAAGTTAGGCTGGACTTTTTCAGGCATTATCCAGCTCCTAACCTATTTCTCATCGTTATGGCAGCGTTCGTAAGAAACGACATACCAAATCCAACTACCGCGAAAGTCTTTTCATTTGGGTAAATTTAGTGTTGGCCTAGTGGCTTCAGCGTGTCTCTCATCCCTGAGATCGTGGAACCCCGGCTGTGCACCAATGGGCTTTCTATTTGCGCATTTAACATTCGCTCGTAGGAAGTAAAACATCGTGAGGAAACCAGCTTGCCTTAGACCCAACATGACGTGTACTGATCACTCTGCCTGTTAGATTAGGTAATAAATGATCAGATACAAATACAGAAATCCGAGGCCCAGACCTCAAAAGGTTGTAGCGCCACTGATGGGTGTTAGTTTTGTTCTTATACACTTAGTCTACGTTCTCTCTCTTCAGTCGGCAGATCGTGTCTGAGCGTCGTGGTCAGCAAGGAAGCACCTGTATGTCTGCGGATTGTATGACCGAAATAAGATATAATTCGTAGTCTACGTTAGTATCTAGTTACTTCTGCAGGATCCCTTTGAGGTAAAGCCCTCCTTCTGAACTTTCCATTTGGATCTATTCTTAGCTTCCTCCATCCAATACACCCTCACATTTACGATGTCGTCAGCCCATCGCTTTTGTAGTCTTCCCACGTATCTGTTTACTGGAGGACTCCTCCAGTTGATGGCTTCGGCGGTCCATCTGTACACCTTGCAATATGGCCTGCCCATTTTAGCTGTAAGGTTAATACTTGATCGTTGATCCTGGTTTTCGCCCTGATGTGGTCACTTCGTACTTTGCGTTTCTTTTTTATTGTTAGGATGCTCTCGCTCCATTGCTCTCTGGGCACTAATCACCTTCGACGTCGAAGGTGACTTACTGTACTCAGTTTAATTAAGAGGTACACATGCGCTAAAAATGGGTGTCCATGGGCTGCGGTGGCGACCCATGCTTTATACAAATAAATTAATGTGATAGAAATATTTTCTGAATTAAAGTAATTATTTCAGGAGGATTATACCTATAATGATGTGGATTATATGGAGACCTGGAAAGGAATGGAAGACGCACAAAACCTGGGGCTGACTAAGGCCATCGGGGTATCCAATTTCAATCAGACCCAGCTGATTCGATTGCTTGATGAAGGGAGTGTTAGACCTGCAGTACTTCAGATAGAAGTAAGTATTCACCTCTTTGTGGAACCAGCTGCCAGTAGAGGTATTTCCGATACGATTTAAGAGAGCCTTTAAAGAGCGAACCATTCCCTGACAGGTCGGCAACGCAACCACTAAAGTGTCCATGGGCTGCCATGACTGTCTTTTTTGGGCATCACGTAGTGTCGTCTGCCCCCCTATGCTTGTTGGGTATATAGTCCCACCCATTTGCCTCTTGTACCATGAAATTCATACCAGTCATAAGATTAGAACTTATGAATATTTAGAGTATTGCGCAGACGCAGACACAACGCGTTATTTGAAACTACTCTCAATTTCCGTTTAATTGTATCTTTTCAGAACCACCCTCAATTAACCGAACGGGACCTGGTGAACTTCGCCCAGAAAGAAGGAATTACCGTGATGGGGTATTCACCCCTCGGTTCACTGGTTCCAAGATATGGTATGCAGTTACCTGGACCAAAGATGGATGACCCCATCTTGGTGGATATTGCTAGGAAGTATGGGAAGACCGTTCCTCAAGTCGTTTTGAGGTGGTTGGTATGTATCTTGGAGAATCAGATTTCAGATATTTTTAATAAGCAGATCAGCCTTCTGTGCTTGACCGATGATCTTCTGTATTTCATATTTTTATTTTAATATTCATAGAAACTAAATGATTTTAATTTCTTTTGTCTCTTTCTGTGAAGAATGGCAGACAGATGAATAAAAAAACAACACCAGTGGCGCCACAACCTTTTTTAGGTCTGGGCCTCATATTTCTGTATCTGTTTCATGATCTTTTGTCAGGCAAGTGGGTGATCAGCCTCCTGTGCCTGACACACGCTGTCGTGTTGGGTCTAAGGCACGATTCCTCGCGATTTTTTCCTTCCTACGAGCGAATGTTAAATGCGCACATAAAAAGTAAATTGATGCACAGCCGGGGCTCGAACCTATGACCTCAGGGATGAGACTCAACACTGCTCTCAGACAGGTGAATACTTAAGCTTAAACGGTGCAATAAACTGAACATATACATATTATTCTAATTCTAGGTCGACAGAAAACTCGTTCCCGTAACCAAAACTGTTAAAGTGAAGCGTCTGAAGGAAAACATTGAGATTTTCGACTTTTCACTGACAGCCGAGGAAATAGCAAGAATCAACAAATTCGACGAACACAAAAGATTCACTATACCATCTTTTTGGCAGGATAACCCAAATTATCCGTTCGAGAAAATAGAAAATCCCGTTCAAAATCCATTTGTAGCAATAAAGAGTAAAAATTTAAAGAATTAATCAGGAAGTTTAAGTATTTATGCAAAGATACATTGTACATTATTAATAATAATAAAAAATAACAATGAAAAGAAATTGCAAGTCCTTGTCTAAGATTCAGAAAGTTGACATACGGCACTCATAGTTCGCGCCAAGTATCCAGTGACCTGTGTCAAGTATCCTGTGTCAATTGTCATACGTCTAAACATTTGTTATTAATTTATATATATAGTTATTCAATGTTATGCATTCTCCCTTGTTACGTTCCATCTAAATATGTAAATGCAAAACATTATTTAACTAATCGTATAAGATCTGTGTAATTATTTAAGCGTGCGAAATAGTTAAAAATTATAGCCTATATAACTTTATTTATTGAGACTAAAATATGCACTCTTTAGTGACGCACTCATTCGACACTTCAGTCTTCAAACGCAATTTGATGGAAAGAGAGACAAAAGAGTGCGATTAGACTTGTCTATAAATAAAATGTAAATAACGATAGCGAGTAGTGCGATACAGTTTTTAGTTTGCGCGCCATTACAGAGCAACACAGCTGCTCCAGATTTCGCCTTTTTAATTTTTATACTATGAATGACATCTCATTAGATGTTTTGAATATATTAGTACAACGTCAACCGCAAAAGTTACTCAAATATAAGAGCAACAATTAGTAACATTTTTACATTTTAGAAAAGACCCAAAAATAATAATTGCTCTTTACTTTGATTGCCTTTTGATAGGACCCTTATAATATCAATTACATTGTAATAACACTTAAAATATTTTAATACATAGTAAGTACAACATTGTATTCAATAAAACTTCCCAAGAATTTATAATATATTTTTATTCATTTTTTATCCCTTGTCATGATGATAGACGTATAGCAGTGTTAAAATTAAAGAATAAAATATAACGGTTATAATTGAATCTCTTCAAAATCAGCTATATTTATATCATATACATAATTTTTCTCATGATTCAATCATGCAGTCAGAAATAGGAATTTAGCAAGAAGGTACGAAATTATCCACCAAATTTTGAATTCGCGCTAAACTGCCGTATGACATTTGTATTCTGTGCTTGCTTGACAAACTAGATAATTATGAACGTATAATAATTACCACATTATAATCAGCAATGTTCATGTTTTCGCGAAACACATTAAACAAAATATTATATTAGCAATTATATTGACATAGTTTTTTGTATTCACGATTTTCTTAATTACAAACAATGCCAGTATGAAGCAAAGTTGTTATTGTCAATGTCATTATTATTATCTGACTTTGAAATATTGAATTTTGTTTTGCGTTTCTGAACGATCACAATATATCAGATAATATTTGATAAAACAAATCGAAATGAACATTTGTAATGTTATAAATGTAAATAATTGTAGGTTTCTGTTTTGTTATAGTTAATGGAGCTGATTCTCAATTGAGTTAAAATAAATTGTATTTTAAATGACAATCATGTTTACTTTCGAATAATTTCCGAACGAATTTCAAAGTAAAACGAAGTCCGAAGAACATACAGTGAAAAAATTAATAACATCGCTCATATTTGCTGAATTTTTCGCTTGTTCCCTGTGTTAGTGTTTAAAAGCGTGCTGATTTTCTTACATAGTGGCTAAAGTGACGCCATACCCCAGTATGAGTTATTCTACTCGGAATAAATTCGAGGTAAGCCATTGATTTTCTTTTGTTTGTATTTTCATAACAGCTGACCCCATCCAGTTTTCTTTGTTCCCACATGCTATTTTTTAAAGACAATTCTGCCTTTGAACGCAAATCACCGCTATTTATTTATATAGCTTACAATTGCGTAATAAACGTATAGAAGTAGTAGGGAAGGATATTTTCGTCTTATAAAAACATCTTTTATATATATAATTAATCTTTAACCGGTGTAACGACCTAAGTTCAATCAACTCGAGTCAACCGTTACACCAAATTGTGTGAGAACTTGACATAATTTTATGTAATAGACATTAATTAAATAGTGCAGAAATTAATTCATTATATATATTACATATATTTCTAGCATTGCATTATCAAGAATATTTTTTAATAAAAATGTAAATAATATGATAGTATAAGGCAAACAAATCTGTTTGTTTTTGAAGTGAAACTTCTCTAGGCGCATGAGGGTAAATTTTTTACTGAATGTCACGAAGATGTGTTTTTGTCGAAAAAAAAGGGAGAGAGCGATTGAGACTGATTAAGAGAGAGTGAGAAAGGGCGAACGTAGTATTACAAACTCAAGTATACATAGATTTTTAATTTTTGTCTAAGCTATAACTATACATTGTTTTAAATAATCAACTTTATGATAAGATAAGTGTTATAAAGCGATAAAAGTGATAATTATGTTTACAAACAGTCCTTTATTTTACAAGATGTAAAACCCAGTTCTACTTGTGTAAATAAATAGTTTATATTTGATTAGTACCACAAAAAGACCAAGACAACTCAGATTGCATGTTACTTTGATTGACAAGTAGGCAATTGGCCTTCTGTGGCTGACACATGCTATGTGATCTTCTTAGTAATATGATGTGCATCTTCGTAGTAATATTTTTTACACCATAAAAACAACTGTTATTAGCACACCAATGATTATTGTGTAGACACACACACCAGCAGATGACGCAATGCATGTCTGGGGATTTTGTTAACTTAAAGTAATGAGCTTTGTAATAGCTGAAACATTGCAGTGGCCAGTAATTTATGATTTAATAAATAATCTCTTAGTTGCTTACTTGCGTAATTCTATTTGAATATATATTAAACATATCAATTCATTATATGTATACAGCTTTTGGAAGGTCTTATTAGAAATATTAACAATACCTAAGATAAGATTTTGAAAATATCTTTATACATAAGTAACACATTGCAATAAATTAAATTATTCCTACTTTCTTCTGAGTAAAACTGTCAATATCTGCCGGTATTTTTTTTCTTCAATTTGTTTATAACTATTCAACTACCCTGCTAGTTAATAGCCAATGCGCTAGTTGTGTAACTTAAATTATATACATATTATTTTTTTTTCTCAACATTATTATATTGGCATAGTCTGTAACGATAACTTAGGTATTTCTGTAAATAATAATAAATATCTTATGTTAGGTAATGTTATATGAATAAGCAATTCAACCTTCAACATAACCGCTCTGTGCAATAGGTCTCTGAAAAGAGTGGAATTAAAATGGTAAATTTTTATGTAATAAGAATTATGAAGGAAGGTATATATTGTGGCATACCTATGCCTTATATCTATATTGATGATTATATTAGTATAAATTCTCATGCGCATTCTTACGCGCGTAAGAAGTTATACTTCTTTGGCATTATTAAAAATAGTTTTTGATTGCATGCAAATAATTAATTACAATTAAATAATCAAAGACTGGAAAAGTGTCATTATAATATAATAATAAAAAATATATATAAATAAATAAAAATTTGTTATTATTCTGTTACATTAAGTGTAACATGAATTCTATTATTATTCGAATGTTGTGGGAAATCTTCCGTGGGCAACTTCATTCTGTTATTTTTGTGTCACGGTGCGCGCGCATCGTAAAATTTCAATCTCATCAATTTTTCATAACGCGCCTAAAGAAGTATAACTTCAAAAATAAGAAAGAAGCTGGATGAGGCTTATAAAGAACCAAAATAAATGTTATTGATGTTTTATAATAATTTTTTTATCAGCAATAAAGGCTTTTGTATTTGTATTATTAATAATAATAAAACTTTATTATTTGCAATTTAATTTCTTATATGACAATTATAGTAATGTATAGTTATCAGTATTTATTAGCAATGTTATGATTTTTTTAATAATTTGAAATTGAATCTCATTTGGTTCTACATTTCCCTGTCTAGAGAAATTTTCAAATAACCTACCTACCTCCATTAGATTGTTGTTCCACCTTTTCTTTGGTCTACCGACTCCTTGGGCCTTTTTTTTGCATTCTTATATTGAATCGATTAGTTGGCATGTACCTATGTATAGCAATAAACAAATGTGGATTTGCACTGCTAGAGAACACCACAATTGGATGACCTTTGATGAAATATAAGCTTTTAATAAATAACAGTTTGCTGATAGATATTAAATATTGATAGAATAATGTTGTATTCGTTTTAGCATGAACATTTAAATCTCAAATCCATGCCGTGTGTCAGGCACAGGCTGGTCATCTTGTTTCTAATAAACTATCTCCACGTTTTACAGAGATTAACCTCAATATTTGTCTTTGTACTGCGACACCATTGCATATGTAGTACTGGCGCTGTGTGGTGATAAAAGTTATGTATTGTTTCAGATCGCGCGGTTTTCGGGCGAAGAAGAGAACCATATAAATAAAAAATTACCAAAAGAATTGCTTCTCCGAATATTGTCTTATTTGGATGTGGTCTCGCTATGTCGCTGTGCACAGGTTAGTAGATATTTTTACAGTCTAGTATAAATACCGGACTGGAAAATTATCGAGAGATTTAAATTGTTGTGTCAAGTCGAGAGTCTTATGTCTTATTCATTACTCACAAATTAAAATCTAAAATACAATATATATGCTTACTAACTGACCCGGTAAACGTTGTTTAGCCATGTAAACTCTTTATAACGAATTTCGAGGGACCGAGCAGTTGTTTCGTTATAGGGGGTGACTATACAAACAAATGTAACCAAATACAATAATTTCTAATTTTATTACTATCAATAGGTTTGTTTGTTTACGACTGATAATACACGATAGGTGACAGTGGTGCGTTTAGTAACTGAGACCAAAATTTCCTACAAGGAATATAATCTAACAATAATGGTGTTAATGCAATTAACAATAACAAAGGCGAGACGGCTGTTTATGAGCTCAGGTGTCTCTCTTAGAAATTTCTGCACCTCAAAAGTTTAGTTTTGTAAGCTGATTATAAAAACAATTACACTTAAGTATGTTGTTGATGTCTAAATATGTAAATATTGTTTCGTTATAGAAAGTGGCTGTTGCGTTATAAAGTGTGAATTAATGTATGGGTTTTGAGCTACACCAAACAAATGTACCTCTTTTTACGTTATAGAGAGTTTTTAGTTATAACGAATGACGTTATAAAGACTACACTGTATATTATTTCTAGGAAACATTTTTTAGTTCAATAAAAATAATTATTTACTATATAAAAAATAGGGGTTCGGTCGAGCCATTTTGAAGGAATTAAATTACAAACACCGTGACACGAGAATTTTATATATTAGATATTGTTGAATCGAAAGATTGTATTGGATATCTTTTCAAACGAATAATCAAATAACAAACCATGGAAATCGGGCGAACAGGACTTTGTTTTATATAAATAAATTTGTTTAATGTGATTTAATTGTATTAGGTGTCTAAATTATGGAATATACTTGCTCTTGACGGCTCCAATTGGCAGAGGATCGATCTTTTCGACTTCCAGAGGGATGTTGAGGTGAGCGTTTATTCAATTTTTATTTAGGGCTCCATTAGAACCCTACTGATATTGGCTATTTAAAAAAAGTTTTGTATGAAATTACGATGTTTTTTTATAAATAAATAAATGAAGTTTTTCTCGTGTAAGTGACATGTGTTGTCAGAAAAAAATTGATGACTTTGATTCCAGGGATCTGTTATAGAGAATATATCACATAGATGCGGGGGCTTCCTAAGGCAATTGTCGTTGCGTGGGTGTGAGAGTATTGCAGATGGGTCTATGAAGACTCTTGCGCAGGTAATTTATTTCATGTACCATAGAGAGTGTTCAGAGGAGTTGTTCCAATTCTGCAGCTGAGTTTCATCAGACGTGGAGGGGATACGGATGGTATTTCATATGCCACTAGCGTTTAAAGGCAGTTTTCGGGGACCACCACTATGTGGAACCAGAACCAATTTGACTTGGGGTCCTTCGAAGAGGGTACCTATACTGTCTACGGTATAACTTAACATCAGGTGTGCCCCGTTCTGTTAAAATATTATTAAGAGAAAGGCCGGCAACGAACTCGCAAGTCCTCTGGCATTGATTACATTAAAAAAAATGTGCCAAAAGTGTGCAAAGAGGATGCTGGATGAGGCTCGAGTACGTCGGTGATATATTTGTTGATATTTTTCAGTCTTGCCCCAATATCGAAGATCTGAATTTGAATAAGTGTAAGAAGGTCACAGACCACACGTGTCAAGCCCTTGGCAGGAGGTGTAGCAAGCTGCAGAGGTGAGGGTATAATATATATATATACATATTTGAAATTGCCTTAAAATGGAAGAAATTCTATTTTTTTTGAAACGACATTCTCCAATATATATAGTCAAGAAAACACACCCAAAAAATTATTAAAATATATAATAATTGCCAAGAAAGCTTAAAAAATTAAAGAAACACGATTTTAGTAACCTTTACAAAATAATAGATTTTTATTGGACTATATATTTAAATAAAATCCTACAAAAATTTGGAATAAAAAAAGGGAACACTTATACACAAAAAATATGGAAGAATTGCCAAGAAACCTGAAAAAAATTAAAGAAAATCAATTATTTTAACCTCTACCAAAAAATTGGATGTTTTTATTAGTCAAAATTATTCAAAACACACAAAAATATCGAAATATTGCCATAAATGAAAAACTGAAAATGTTATTAGATTAAACCCGGGAATATTATGTTTTTTTTTTTTTCCATTATTTCAAAGAAAACTTTATCGTGTTTCAGAATAAACCTGGACTCGTGTCCAAGTGTAACAGATATATCCTTAAAGGCGCTATCAGATGGATGTCCAGTAAGTAAAATGTCTTGTCTCCAGAAACACAGAGCATACTCCTAAATTCCAAAAGCCCGGCAACGCACCCAATAAAATGGGTGTCCATTGGTGAAAACTGCACTTTTTGCGATTTGTTTGCCTCCTTTGGTATTAAAAAAAGGGTTCGATTCTCGCCGAAACTATATAAAAACAAAGATATGCAGTACCTCTTATTATTAATTTAATTTCGTAACTTAATAATTGACATTAATGAACCTAAAAAAAAATTGTTAGTTTTTTAAATATAGTAATTGTATAAAACTATACATTAATTAACATTATTGTTAACTCTTATTTGTATTTGTTTATTTACGCACTTATTTTATTTATTATAAATAAAAAGAAACAAATTGATTAAGTGGAGACTTAATACTTTGTGTGTTCCAGCTTTTGACACACGTGAATGTGTCGTGGTGTCAGTCGATTTCGGAGAATGGGGTTGAGGCTTTGGCGAGGAGCTGTCCGAAATTGAAGAGTTTTATTTGCAGAGGTATTTACTTGACATAAGATATATATTTTTTATATGTGTACCTAATGTATGCAATAACGGAAGAGGCACTTTGACAAAATAAAAAAACAGATTTATTAATGACTAACCAATTAAAAATTCGTAATTTCAAGAACCCAAACGCAAACAAGATGGCGCTGACTATGACGTATCATGCTTGTAAACACATATGTACGTCAACGTATTTGTCATAATTCATAGCAAACATTTTTTATTTCGATTTTTACATAGATATTATCAGGATAGGTGAAAACACATCATCTTCGATTCGTCTGTGGTCATTTGTGTCACGTGACCAAGTATTTTTATAACTGGGCCTCTCTTCTGTATCTGTTTCTTAATAGGCAAGTAGGTGATCAGCCGTCTGAGGCGCGTGGTTCTAACGCCGGTGTTACTATGTTTTCCTTCGAGTGAGTGTTATAGAAAAGACCATTGATGCACAGCCGGGGTTCAAACCTAAAGGATGTGAGTCTGACGCTAAAGAACACTGCTCCAGAGAAATGAAAACGCCAATTAATATTTTCAGGTTGTAAAAATGTCAACGATCGCGCCGTGTCCTGTCTGGCGACATTCTGTGTAGATCTGGAAGTGCTTAATGTTCAGGGATGCGATGTAAGTATATTATAAGGAATTTGTGATGTTTAGGGGGTATCTCTGGAAAATTATTTTACCAATAGACAGCGTGAGTTGTGTTATAGGCTGAACACAAACGAAAAGACTGTCGTTGTAGTCGGATTTGCAGTTTCTTCTGTACGCTTGACGATGAGAGATGATTCTAGAGGTGGAGCTTGATTAAATGCCTTTTTTTTCGTGAAACTCATAAAGTGCTGGACGGAATTTAGTGCGGTTTTCAGCAATATCTAGAATGTTTCATTAGAAAGGTTTACGGGTGAAGCTAAGGGTCGCTAGTAGTAAAATAATTGAATGGGAATACTGATATAATAACGTTTCTTTCTCTCAAATTGTGTTGTATCAATTAAACACTTAACTTTAATGACAAACACACTTGACATAATTAGACATTTAAAAGTGCAACTGACTTATATGTCGAATTCACGTCTGTCTAACATTGCATTTTGCTTAAACTGTCAATTAAACACTTAACTTTAATGACAAACACACTTGACATAATTAGACATTTAAAAGTGCAACTGACTTATATGTCGAATTTACGTCTGTCTAACATTGCATTTTGCTTAAACTGTCAATTAAACACTTAACTTTAATGACAAACACACTTGACATAATTAGACATTTAAAAGTGCAACTGACTTATATGTCGAATTTACGTCTGTCTAACATTGCATTTTGCTTAAACTGTCAATTAAACACTTAACTTTAATGACAAACACACTTGACATAATTAGACATTTAAAAGTGCAACTGACTTATATGTCGAATTCACGTCTGTCTAACATTGCATTTTGCTTAAACTGTCAATTAAACACTTAACTTTAATGACAAACACACTTGACATAATTAGACATTTAAAAGTGCAACTGACTTATATGTCGAATTCACGTCTGTCTAACATTGCATTTTGCTTAAACTGTCAATTAAACACTTAACTTTAATGACAAACACACTTGACATAATTAGACATTTAAAAGTGCAACTGACTTATATGTCGAATTTACGTCTGTCTAACATTGCATTTTGCTTAAACTGTCAATTAAACACTTAACTTTAATGACAAACACACTTGACATAATTAGACATTTAAAAGTGCAACTGACTTATATGTCGAATTCACGTCTGTCTAACATTGCATTTTGCTTAAACTGTCAATTAAACACTTAACTTTAATGACAAACACACTTGACATAATTAGACATTTAAAAGTGCAACTGACTTATATGTCGAATTCACGTCTGTCTAACATTGCATTTTGCTTAAACTGTCAATTAAACACTTAACTTTAATGACAAACACACTTGACATAATTAGACATTTAAAAGTGCAACTGACTTATATGTCGAATTTACGTCTGTCTAACATTGCATTTTGCTTAAACTGTCAATTAAACACTTAACTTTAATGACAAACACACTTGACATAATTAGACATTTAAAAGTGCAACTGACTTATATGTCGAATTCACGTCTGTCTAACATTGCATTTTGCTTAAACTGTCAATTAAACACTTAACTTTAATGACAAACACACTTGACATAATTAGACATTTAAAAGTGCAACTGACTTATATGTCGAATTCACGTCTGTCTAACATTGCATTTTGCTTAAACTGTCAATTAAACACTTAACTTTAATGACAAACACACTTGACATAATTAGACATTTAAAAGTGCAACTGACTTATATGTCGAATTCACGTCTGTCTAACATTGCATTTTGCTTAAACTGTCAATTAAACACTTAACTTTAATGACAAACACACTTGACATAATTAGACATTTAAAAGTGCAACTGACTTATATGTCGAATTCACGTCTGTCTAACATTGCATTTTGCTTAAACTGTCAATTAAACACTTAACTTTAATGACAAACACACTTGACATAATTAGACATTTAAAAGTGCAACTGACTTATATGTCGAATTCACGTCTGTCTAACATTGCATTTTGCTTAAACTGTCAATTAAACACTTAACTTTAATGACAAACACACTTGACATAATTAGACATTTAAAAGTGCAACTGACTTATATGTCGAATTCACGTCTGTCTAACATTGCATTTTGCTTAAACTGTCAATTAAACACTTAACTTTAATGACAAACACACTTGACATAATTAGACATTTAAAAGTGCAACTGACTTATATGTCGAATTCACGTCTGTCTAACATTGCATTTTGCTTAAACTGTCAATTAAACACTTAACTTTAATGACAAACACACTTGACATAATTAGACATTTAAAAGTGCAACTGACTTATATGTCGAATTCACGTCTGTCTAACATTGCATTTTGCTTAAACTGTCAATTAAACACTTAACTTTAATGACAAACACACTTGACATAATTAGACATTTAAAAGTGCAACTGACTTATATGTCGAATTCACGTCTGTCTAACATTGCATTTTGCTTAAACTGTCAATTAAACACTTAACTTTAATGACAAACACACTTGACATAATTAGACATTTAAAAGTGCAACTGACTTATATGTCGAATTTACGTCTGTCTAACATTGCATTTTGCTTAAACTGTCAATTAAACACTTAACTTTAATGACAAACACACTTGACATAATTAGACATTTAAAAGTGCAACTGACTTATATGTCGAATTCACGTCTGTCTAACATTGCATTTTGCTTAAACTGTCAATTAAACACTTAACTTTAATGACAAACACACTTGACATAATTAGACATTTAAAAGTGCAACTGACTTATATGTCGAATTCACGTCTGTCTAACATTGCATTTTGCTTAAACTGTCAATTAAACACTTAACTTTAATGACAAACACACTTGACATAATTAGACATTTAAAAGTGCAACTGACTTATATGTCGAATTCACGTCTGTCTAACATTGCATTTTGCTTAAACTGTCAATTAAACACTTAACTTTAATGACAAACACACTTGACATAATTAGACATTTAAAAGTGCAACTGACTTATATGTCGAATTCACGTCTGTCTAACATTGCATTTTGCTTAAACTGTCAATTAAACACTTAACTTTAATGACAAACACACTTGACATAATTAGACATTTAAAAGTGCAACTGACTTATATGTCGAATTCACGTCTGTCTAACATTGCATTTTGCTTAAACTGTCAATTAAACACTTAACTTTAATGACAAACACACTTGACATAATTAGACATTTAAAAGTGCAACTGACTTATATGTCGAATTCACGTCTGTCTAACATTGCATTTTGCTTAAACTGTCAATTAAACACTTAACTTTAATGACAAACACACTTGACATAATTAGACATTTAAAAGTGCAACTGACTTATATGTCGAATTCACGTCTGTCTAACATTGCATTTTGCTTAAACTGTCAATTAAACACTTAACTTTAATGACAAACACACTTGACATAATTAGACATTTAAAAGTGCAACTGACTTATATGTCGAATTCACGTCTGTCTAACATTGCATTTTGCTTAAACTGTCAATTAAACACTTAACTTTAATGACAAACACACTTGACATAATTAGACATTTAAAAGTGCAACTGACTTATATGTCGAATTCACGTCTGTCTAACATTGCATTTTGCTTAAACTGTCAATTAAACACTTAACTTTAATGACAAACACACTTGACATAATTAGACATTTAAAAGTGCAACTGACTTATATGTCGAATTCACGTCTGTCTAACATTGCATTTTGCTTAAACTGTCAATTAAACACTTAACTTTAATGACAAACACACTTGACATAATTAGACATTTAAAAGTGCAACTGACTTATATGTCGAATTTACGTCTGTCTAACATTGCATTTTGCTTAAACTGTCAATTAAACACTTAACTTTAATGACAAACACACTTGACATAATTAGACATTTAAAAGTGCAACTGACTTATATGTCGAATTCACGTCTGTCTAACATTGCATTTTGCTTAAACTGTCAATTAAACACTTAACTTTAATGACAAACACACTTGACATAATTAGACATTTAAAAGTGCAACTGACTTATATGTCGAATTCACGTCTGTCTAACATTGCATTTTGCTTAAACTGTCAATTAAACACTTAACTTTAATGACAAACACACTTGACATAATTAGACATTTAAAAGTGCAACTGACTTATATGTCGAATTCACGTCTGTCTAACATTGCATTTTGCTTAAACTGTCAATTAAACACTTAACTTTAATGACAAACACACTTGACATAATTAGACATTTAAAAGTGCAACTGACTTATATGTCGAATTCACGTCTGTCTAACATTGCATTTTGCTTAAACTGTCAATTAAACACTTAACTTTAATGACAAACACACTTGACATAATTAGACATTTAAAAGTGCAACTGACTTATATGTCGAATTCACGTCTGTCTAACATTGCATTTTGCTTAAACTGTCAATTAAACACTTAACTTTAATGACAAACACACTTGACATAATTAGACATTTAAAAGTGCAACTGACTTATATGTCGAATTCACGTCTGTCTAACATTGCATTTTGCTTAAACTGTCAATTAAACACTTAACTTTAATGACAAACACACTTGACATAATTAGACATTTAAAAGTGCAACTGACTTATATGTCGAATTTACGTCTGTCTAACATTGCATTTTGCTTAAACTGTCAATTAAACACTTAACTTTAATGACAAACACACTTGACATAATTAGACATTTAAAAGTGCAACTGACTTATATGTCGAATTCACGTCTGTCTAACATTGCATTTTGCTTAAACTGTCAATTAAACACTTAACTTTAATGACAAACACACTTGACATAATTAGACATTTAAAAGTGCAACTGACTTATATGTCGAATTTACGTCTGTCTAACATTGCATTTTGCTTAAACTGTCAATTAAACACTTAACTTTAATGACAAACACACTTGACATAATTAGACATTTAAAAGTGCAACTGACTTATATGTCGAATTCACGTCTGTCTAACATTGCATTTTGCTTAAACTGTCAATTAAACACTTAACTTTAATGACAAACACACTTGACATAATTAGACATTTAAAAGTGCAACTGACTTATATGTCGAATTCACGTCTGTCTAACATTGCATTTTGCTTAAACTGTCAATTAAACACTTAACTTTAATGACAAACACACTTGACATAATTAGACATTTAAAAGTGCAACTGACTTATATGTCGAATTCACGTCTGTCTGACATTGCATTTTGCTTAAACTGTCAATTAAACACTTAACTTTAATGACAAACACACTTGACATAATTAGACATTTAAAAGTGCAACTGACTTATATGTCGAATTCACGTCTGTCTGACATTGCATTTTGCTTAAACTGTCAATTAAACACTTAACTTTAATGACAAACACACTTGACATAATTTGACATTAAAAAGGGAACTGTCAATTAAACACTTAACTTCAATGTCAAACAGAACTTGACAGACGATTCGATATCGAAGCTGGGTGGTGCCATGCGTCGTCTATGCGTGTCGGGTTGTACCCGTCTGACAGACACGTCCCTCTGCGCTTTGGCTACCAAGTGTCCAGATTTGGTCACGTTGGAGTTGGCCCAATGCGCTCAGCTGACGGATGCGGGGTTCCAGGCTCTCGCTAGGGTGAGTAATAATAATAAATTTCCATTTTAAATGTTTTTCTCTCTTTTCCATTAACCAGTAGTTTCCTGCTATCTCTATAAAGTCATCAGTCCACCGTCTTTTTGCCTGCCCATTATTTTTCTGGGTGGTCCATTGTGTTTTCTTTGATGTCCACCTGTTGTCCAGGTGACACATAACCAGCCCATTGCCATTTTGCTTTCCAAGCTGGTGATAGGGTTCGGTTGCTTGTTCATATAACATAGACTTCAAAAGAGATATCACCTTTATTTTGTATTGTTGGAAAATTGATTTTTTTTAATGGAACAGGACGTTCATCTGATGTTAGGGATACCGCCCATGGACACTTGCAAAGCCAGAAGGCTCGCAAGTGCTGGCCTTTTAAGAATTGGTGCGCTCCATTCTTGAAGGATCATGTTAAGTGATACCGCCGCCTATTACTATTGCCAGAGGGCTCGCAAATGAGTTGCCGGCCTTTTACTTTTTGCCGGCAAAACATGCTGCAATCCGCCATTTTGAATTATCCCATCCAATTCCACTTAGGGTCCATCAAGATAAAGAGCGTACCAGTCCTTACAAGGACGGCAACGCACTCGTGAGCCCTCGAGAAATGTTAGTGATTATAGGCGGCTATTCTTAGTGAACCATCTGACATTGAGAGTGCCCATAGCGGTATCACATAACATTAGGGTGAGCCTCCTGTTAATTTTTTTCTCCTGTAATTTTATTGCAGAGCTGTCGAATGCTTGAACGAATGGACTTAGAGGAATGTGTACTCATTACTGACACCACCTTGGTACATTTGGCCATGGGCTGTCCGCGACTAGAGAAACTTGTAAGTATTCTTATGCATTTATTTAAAAATAGTTTAAATAATACTCTTTGGCAAAGTATGCTTTATACATAAACTATTGTCAACAGAACTTGCAAACTCTGTATAAAAAGCGAGAAACATAAACTTTGGAGTAGCTCTAAGTCAAGTCAAGTCAAAGTCAAAAATCATTTATTCTTGTAGGTAACACAATGTACACTTATGAACGTCAAAAAAGAAACATACATTAAATGCTTCTAATTTTACATTTAATGCCAGTTCTTAAATCAAGGGCGTAGGACGGAAGAGAAGAACTGGCAATAAACTCTCCGCCACTCTTTTTCATCGCCTGGAAGCGTCCCGTGTTTGAGGATGAAGTGGTCTTGTAAAACGTTTTAGGGACAAAAAGGGAGAGGTTTAGAACCACGCGTTATGTAGCATAGTTATTAAGAATAAAATTGTGACTTAGCTAAAAATGGTCACTTGGTGGTTACGTAATGTTTCACTAGGAAAAAGGTGGTACAGAAAACGTTGCAGCACTTGAAATGAGGAGTAGTTGCGGTAATATTTGAAGTGAACTGTTAGAGAGGTGGATGGGTAGAATTTCTGGGGGAAAAATGATACAAAATATCGTAGTGTGTATATATAGAGTCCGTATTGCCAGTCTGTCAGAAGTTTACAGACATTTATAGTGTCAGTATTGACTGTCAGAAGTTACATTGTCAGTAGTGTAAACGCTATTATCAAATATTTTCAGACATTATCACATTGCGAATTAATAACGGATTATGGAATTAAACAACTGTCAATGTCGCCGTGCGCAGCGGAACACCTCACCGTGCTAGGTATGTATTCATTTTCATAGATATTTTTTTAATATTAATGTAGATGTGTCCGCGGCAGATGATATCGCCTTTGTATTTTTCTTATGGGGATGGAAAATATATGATCCAGTTATTCAGAACCACCACTCTTACCACGCTCTTGCCTACAGATTTCTGTATTTTGTGATATTTTTAATAGACCCGGTGAACCGCCTTCTGTACCTGATACTCGTAATTTTAATGCCAGTATTAGATGCAAGCTGTATGGGACATTTAAAATGGTTTTTTACAGGTCTAGACAACTGCCCGTTGGTGACGGATGGCGCGTTGGAGCATTTGATCTCGTGTCACAATCTTCAGCTCATCGAGCTATACGACTGTCAGATGGTGACGAGGAACGCAATACGAAAATTGAGGGTAAGTATTTTATAAATAAACGGTAGAGAAGAATGCGCATTTAATTGTTAATTAAATTGCTCGGGATGGTTTGTTTTTTAGGCATCTTTTATATTGTTACATACACAGAAATGTAGTGGAATTTGCATTGCTGTAAGAGCTATTTTGCCAAAGCAGTGTTGGCCTAATATAATAAATAAATAATAAAATGAGGTCGAAGAACCCTGGCTGTGCACCAATGCACTTTTAATGCGCATTTAACATTCGCTCGTACGAAGGAAAACATCGCGAGGAATCGTGCCTTTGATCCAACACGATGGCGTGTGCCAGGCACAGAAGGCTGATCACCGGCTTGCCTATTAGATTGACACATGAAAGAGATCCAGAAATCTGAGGCCCAGACCTAAAAGGTTGTAGCAACACTGATTAGTTTTTTTGTTATTTTTGTTTAAATATAATCATTTATTTCAGAATCACCTACCGAACATCAAGGTGCACGCTTATTTCGCGCCCGTGACTCCGCCGGTGGCAGGTGGCGGCGCGAGGCCACGCTACTGCCGCTGTTGTAACATCATATGAAACATACTTCGTATGTTTAGGTAACGGAATTTACAACTCCACTGACATATCTCATTAGTCACTTGGGTATTTGACATGTTTCATTAGTCACTATGATGTTTGTCAGGCATTGACCATTTATTGTTACGTCAATTGACGTATATTGCCATATGTCATTAGTTGCACGGACTGTATTGACACATGTCAATTCTAGTTTAGTGCTTAATTTGTCATCTATATCTAAGATAATATGACATAAATGAAATTTTCGTATTAAATTACGGGATAAAATGCTTTTAATAATAATTATTACATTTATAAAACTGTTTCAACCCTTATAAACGCTATATTTATATAATATATAATTCTACTGTATATGTGTATGTCACTGAACTCCTCTAAAACGGCTGGGCTGATTTGAATGAATTTTATTGTATGCGTTTGGGTGGCGCCCTGGATGGTTTAGATTCACAAATCTGCCCGTCAGATGGCGTTACAGTCGGTATCTAGTTTATTTATCTTTACAGCAAATAAACAGCTGGTTTATATATAAATCTTTTGAATGGCTGGACAGATTTTGATGACATTTTTTGTGTTCAAGTGGAGTCGAGAATGATTTACATTATGTATGTAAGACGTGTGTACAGGACAACGTCTGTCGGACCCGCTAGTTTTTTAAATATATTTAGACGATTTAAGTGGTTGCTGTTTTGGCAAAATTTAATATTTTTTCTATCTCCTATTTGTTTTTAATTCTGGTTTTAATATATTTAAAACAAAATTAAGTTTTAATATAATTAAATAAAAATATTGTATTACTTTTGACTCCGATTTAAAATAGGGCCCGTGTATCGTCAAACATAAATATTATTGTCAAACCTCCATATGACATGTTTGACAAATTTGACAGCGCTCAGGACGAGATTGTAACTTAAGAGATATGCCCTGAAACATCGCCTATAAGCGATAAGGCGCACTCTTATGGGGTGTGAATTAAGTGTGATTCTTAATTTACCAAATCTCCGTTTTTTTACATTACTGGAGGAAACGGACAGGATCATTTGATGTTAAGTGATACCGCCGCCCATGGACACTCGATGCCAGAGGGTTCGCGAGTGCGTTGCCTTAAACTTTTTAGTTGTTAAACTATTATATGTTATATATAGTAAATAGTTGTTTAACACAATTGCTTCGAAATGTAAATAATAAAATAATAATTTCGCGTTTTTGTACGATAAGCGAGTTGTATTAATGTTGTAAACACAAACGTAAAATAAATGTATATGTCAAACCTGACAACTGTCAGAAGTTATATTGAATTGACATGGTCGATGACATTGTGTTGTTAATGTCGAATTTGGCAGCTGTCATGAGTAATATTGAAACTTGACATTACCGATGACATTTGACAATTAAAATCTGTGCGTAAAGAGAAGTGTCTGGGATTTGAAAATGCTAAAACACCTTTGACGATACCTGATAGGAACGTTATATCGTTCGACATCTTGATATTCAGAAAAATAAATTTTTGAGATTAAATGAAATTGCTATGTTTTCATTTACGGTTCTCTTTCCGCACAGACTATGAATCTATGAAATGACATGTCATAATTGTCTCGTCAATGTCAGATCTTAAATAAGTTTAACGTAAAATAAGGCGACAATATGCTTATGTATATATAATAATATATCTTTTCGTGTATACTGTAATACTATATGTGATTAGTGGCCGGATCTTCCGGTAAAAATGGTTAAGAGGTAACGTTTAAGCAGATGCGGTCTGCCCCATAACCTGGTGGGGCATGGGACATATTTTTCTATTTATAATTATTTTTTTATAATAGTGAAATAAATGATGCATTTTATGTTTGTTTTTTGTTTTATTATTTTTATTCATTCTCTGAAATTTTGAACGAAGGAATGTCATATAAAAGTCTATATACATAGTCTTTATGTAACTAAGGGAGCATTCAAGCATTACGTACCGAATTTGTAAAACGTTATCATGCGGGGATTGAACTACGCGTTATTGTTAATATTATTATTTTCGACTTTCCAGTACTTTACACCACATAATGGTAACTTTTAGGTATTAAGAGTCACTAGTACACAAGTAAATAAGCTATAAAACCATAAATTTTACACTATTACATATATATATATATAAAAATTGTCTAATTAAACACCTGTCTGGTTCGATACTTATTCGTTGAGGAAAGCACCAGATCACCGACACTATCTACCAGTCCTAAACTTAAATCTTTAATTAGTTGTGCACTTGAACCCCACGGCCCAAGAGTCCAAGGAATAAATAAAAATCGAATTGGTCCAGTCTAAGTTTTGCGATTCCTTTTTATTTATATATTTTCCTCTGCATCAAATAAACCATTATATACACTGAAAGTGGCTTAATAATCTCGCCATTTCCCATGCCCCGCGGGACGGTATCATTATCACTGTGATATTTATTTTGCTACTGTAAAACCACATTTCGTGTTCACTACGCACTAGGTTACCAATAAAATTGGTTTACATTACGCGATAAATAATTTAAAATTACTTAAAATTACTTGTTTTTTGTATTTGGATCAATTATTTGTAATCAATATATAATATAATAACACTTTAAAATAAAATGAATCAGTGGCGTTACCTTTTTAGGTCTGGGCCTCAGATGGGTATCTGTTTCATGATTTGTCAATCTAAAAGGCAAGTAGCCAGCCTCCTGTGCCTGACACACGCCGTCGTGTGGGGTCTAAAACAAGCCGGTTTCATCACGATTTTTTCCTTCGTACGAGCGAATGTTAAATGTGCACATAGAGTCTATTGGTGCCCAGCCGGGGTTCGACGAGATCAGGGATTAGAGACACGCTGAAGCCACTAGGCCAATATATATAATATTATAAAGATTTACGTTGATTAGTTGTTGTATATGTTGAAGGAATTCAAAGAAAACAGAATTATTTATCACGTAATGTTTCGTATATTAGATTACTGTAAATATATATATATGTGGATTCAAAATTGTTTTATTTAATCCGCAGTCACCATTTTGGATATTTTATAGTACAGGGGGCAAACGTCTTACCAGATGTGAGCACCCGTGGAGACTCTTTAATCTTTATTTTTACTTTACAGAGGTGAGAGGGCTTGCAAATGCATTGCCGGCTTTTCAAGAATTGGTACTTTTCTTGAAGGACCATTCGGACACCAAGGACATTTCCAGAGTGAAAAAAAATGAAATTACGACAGTGTAACCCAAATTAAAAAGATCCATAAAGATTCCTATATGCTGCGGAATCTATTATTTCCTTACATATGAAATTGGCGTATTTCGTACTGGCCACTTTTATCACGATGTTCTCCTCTTTGGTAAGGAATTCCAAATTAAAATTTGTACAGCTATTTACTCATGTATTTGTGCTTCGATGACCGTCATTCATTTGTTTTTGTCTGTTTGCGTCAATCATTTTACAAAATGGAAAACTTAAAGTATCGCATTATTTACGAGTACGAGTTCCGCCGTGGCACTAGTGCTGCGGAAACGACTCGAAGGGTGAATGATGTGTATGGCGGTCATGTTGCAAAAGAAAACACAGTTCGTTTTTGGTTCCAACGTTTTCGTTCTGGAAATTTCGACCTGCAGAACAAGCCCCGTGGACGGCCTGAGACCCAAGTTGATAATGAAGTATTGAAGGCTATTGTGGAAGCGGATCCATCGCAAACCACGTCCGAGTGCCGGTATTGTTCATTGCAGTTTTCTCAAATGTGGCCAGACTATTACGGCTGATGTCTATTGTCAGCAATTGCAAACCATGATGGAAAAGCTAGCGGCTAAACAACCTAGGCTGGTCAATCACTCCACGCCACTGCTACTTCACGGCAACGCTAGACCACTTGGAATGTCTAAGACATCCTCCGTACTCCACGGACCTTGCTCCAACAGATTACCATTTTTTTCGAAATTTGGACAAGCAAAAAAAATTTGGAAATCTTGCAAGGGAAAAAATTTAACTCTGATGGGGCAGTCCAAATCGCCTTCACAGATTTTATTGATTCCCGTCCGACTGGTTTTTTTAGTAAAGGGATCAATGAACTACCTATGAGATGGCAAAAGTGCATAGAAAACAATGGTTCATACTTTGATTAATTAAATATATTATATTTAAAAATATTTGACTTTTTGTTCCTCCCATACAAAACGCTAATTTCATATGTAAGGACCTAATATTAGCAATAGAGCATTGGACTACAGTTTTATAGAAGACATCAATATCTGCTCATAAGTTTTGCATTTAAATGTCCATTTAAAGCTTTAGAACATCCACAACATAATGGACCTCGCCTCAGCGTAGTTGATGCTTTTACGCACCAACGGGTTGGGGTGATCTTCAGCTTTGTCGAAATGGCGTCTTACGCTCTTTCTCGCGTGGGGGCGTATTTAAGGCTGTACCGGGGTCGGGCATATGCTGAGCTCCTTGCGGATAGAGTGTTGTATTACGCCCGGCAATAGAGCGGTACGGGCACGGTTCGACCTGGTCATCACGAATTAAAAAAACTATTTATAAAGTAAGCACTACAAGATAATACCACCATTTAATATTTTTATGCATGTGCTGCCATCTATTGGTGCCATATATTTAAAATCGAGTACATGTTTTATCTATCGATCTAATAAAAGACATTTACTACAAAAGCAAAAGTCGTGTAAAGTTAGAGAGACAAGGTCCTGAAATAAATATTAGTAGAGGCGTCAGACAGGGTGACCCCCTATCTGTTTACCTGGGTCAACAAGTTTTTTGTGTAATAGGCAAGGGCAGGAGGCTCATCGGATGTTAAATGATACCGCCGCCCATGGACAGTCATATTGCCAGAAGGCTCACAAGTGCGTTGCCGGCCTTGTTATTATCTTTCTCAAAGTCAAGACACGAAGATGAGGTTAAAAGACGAGTCAACATAACCTGGAATAAATTTTGGAGCAATAAAGAAACCCTTAAATCAGAATTACTTAAGAAAAAAAT